CTATGTTGGTTTTTGGCAAAAGTCCCACATTGGTTGTGTATAAGGAGGAGGGAAAATTCTTTTGTTATAAATAAAGCCCTCCTCCTCCTTAGTTAATCATCCCACAAATATAAGCCTTCTTCTATTTTAAAGGCTATTTGTATTCTTTCTCTCTTTGTAATATTTCCTCTATTAGTGAAATATTTTGGTGTTCTCTTTTATGTCTATTTAATAGCTATTGTCGGGTATAGTTGTTGTCAATTATTGTCCTATTAAAATTACTTGTCTTGGTAGTTCTGTCTAAGGAAAGTGGGTTTTAAGAGGGACCATTGTGACCCCTCCTCTTTCCTGGGAATCTACCTTGGGGTGATTTTTAGTACAATCGTTTTCACACTAGTTACCTAGATAATAGTTTTCAAGGTGAATCTGTTATTGGTGGAAATTAACCCGAATTTCACAACAATTGATATCAGAGCTATTGGTTTATTTTAGTATGCTCTGTGGTTGCGGCTTAGGCTGATCTTCCACATCAGAAAAATTTCCTTGGGATAATTGACATTCTGCATTGGCAGCTATTAAATAGAATTTGTAGCAGAAATGGCAGACGCTTCTTCATCTTCAATTTTGGCAAGAAATGCTGTGACAAATGTTAGATTTGCAGTGGAGATTTTTGATGGCACCGGTCATTTCAGCATGTGGCAAAGCGAGGTTCTAGATGCCCTATTTCAACAGGGTCTAGACATTGCTATTGAAGGAGAAAAACCAGATGATGTTGAGGAGAAAGAATGGAAGAGGATCAATAGAATGGCATGTGGTACTATTCGATCGTGTCTTTCTAGAGAGCATAAGTATGCATTTTCTAAGGAAACTTCTGCAAGTAAATTGTGGAAGGCACTGGAGGAGAAATTTTTGAAGAAAAGCGGTCAGAACAAACTCTACATGAAAAAGAGTGTTCCGCTTCAACTATGTACCAGGTACCACTGAATGATCACATTACTAGCTTTAATCAGCTGGTGACTGATCTGATGAATATGGACGTGACTTTTGAAGACGAAGATCTGGCTCTGATGTTGATGGGATCACTTCCTGATGAGTTTGAGTATCTTGAAACTACTCTACTTCATGGGAAGGTTGATGTGTCTCTCAGTGAAGTAACTGCTGCCTTGTATAGTTATGAATTGAGAAAGAAAGACACAGAAAACACAAGTGTCAAAGCAGAAGCTCTTGTTGTTAGAGGCCGTTCCAAGAGTCAGAATAAAGGAAGCAGAGGGAGATCGAAGTCAAAGTCCAGATTGAGCAAAGATGAATGTGCCTTTTGTCGAGAAAAAGGGCACTGGAAGAAATAATGTCCCAGGCTAAAGAATAAAGGCAAACCTGAAAGGGGGAAGGCTGTCTCAGAATCAAATGTGCTCGAGTATGATGATGGAGATTCAGATTTCGCATTCGCTGCTACGCCATCAACCAGCTGTTCCAGTTCATGGCTATTAGATTCAGCTTGTAGCCACCATATGACCCCCAATAGAGAATGGTTCTTTGATTTTAAAGAACTAAAAGGTGGAATTGTCTACACAGCAAATAATTCCCCTCTTGACACACTTGGGATTGGTTCAATTCGCTTGAGGAATCAGGATGGATCAATCAAAACCTTAACAGGTGTCCATTATGTACCAGATTTAATGAGAAATCTCATCTCTGTGGGAACCTTAGAGTCAAAAGGTTTAGAAGTGAGGGCAAAAGATGGGATTATGAGGATTATCTCTGGTGCACTGGTGATAATGAAGGGAATCCGAAAAAGAAACAATGTGTATTACTTTCTGGGTAGTACAATTGTTGGGACAGCAGCAGTGGCAGCTTCTACTGATTAACAGGAGTCAGAAGCAACCAGGTTATGGCATATGCGCTTGGGGCATGTTGGTGAAAAATCCTTGAAATTACTGATAGATCAAGGATTATTGAAGGGTGCTCGGGCTTGCAAATTAGCTTTTTGTGAGCATTGCATCAAAGGGAAGAAGACGAGGGTGAAATTTGGAACAGCAATCCATGATACTAAAGGTATTTTAGATTATGTTCATTCAGATGTATGGGGGCCTTCCAAGACAACTTCATTGGGAGGAACACACTATTATGTCACCTTTGTTGATGATTTTTCCCGGAGAGTTTGGGTGTATCCAATGAAGACAAAGGATGAGGTGCTAGGATTTTTCTTTAAATGGAAAAAGATGATGGAGACTCAAACAGGCAGAAAAATCAAACGTCTTCGTATATACAATGGTGGAGAGTACAAAAATGATCCATTTCTGAAAGTCTGTGAAGAGGAAGGTATTGTTAGGCACTTCACTGTCAGAGGTACACCACAACAGAATGGAGTGGCAGAGCGTATGAACCGGACATTAGTGGAGAAGGTTCGTGTATGTTGTTTAATGCTGGGTTAGGCAAAGAATTTGGGCTGAGGCTTGGTCTATGCTTGTCACCTTGTCAACCGCTTACCATCGACTGCTATTGGTGGTAAAACACCATTAGAGAAATGGTTTGGAGTACCTGCTACAGATTATGATTCCTTACATGTGTTTGGTTCCACTGCATACTACCATGTTAAGGAGTCAAAGCTGGATCCAAGAGCAAAGAAGGCGATTTTTATGGGGATCACCTCTGGTGTGAAAGGCTATCATCTTTGGTGTCCAGAAACAAAGAAAATAATCTTCAGCAGGGATGTTACCTTTGATGAATCTACCATGTTGAGAAAGGTGACTTCAGAAAAATTGGAGCAGACAGATGGAACTCCCAAAAAGGTGGAGTTTGAAGGAAGCAAATTTGTCCCAACCAGTAAAGAAATGATGTTGACTCTCCTATGGTAGAAGAGAGTCAGATGAAGAAGAGGTTCAGACCCAAGAACCTCCACAGCAACATGAATCAATTGCACTCAGAAAGGGAAAGAGGACCATTAGACAACCTGCTCGTTATGCTGATATGGTCTCTTTTGCATCACCAATTGCAATTGATGACGTTCCTGCCACTTTTAATGAAGCAGTTCAAAGTTCAGAACATAAAAAGTGGAGGATTGTCATGAATGAAGAAATGCAATCCCTTCAAAAGAATCAGACGTGGAAACTAGCTAGTCTTCCGAAGGGAAGAAGGCAATTGGGTGCAAGTGGGTATATGCAAAGAAGATGGATTTCCTGACAAGAATAACATCCGCTACAAAGCAAGATTGGTGGCTAAAGGCTACGCTCAAACGGAGGGAGTTGATTATAATGAAGTATTTTCTCCAGTTGTAAAACATTCCTCCATCAGAATTTGTTGGCTTTGGTAGCGCAGTTGGATTTGGAACTAGTTCAGATGGATGTAAAAACTGCATTTTTACATGGAGACTTGGATGAGGAAATCTACATGACTCAGCCAGATGGATTCAAAGTTGCTGAAAAAGAAGAGATGGTGTGCAAATTAGAAAAATCGTTGTACGGATTGAAGCAATCTCCAAGGCAGTGGTACAAGCGATTTGACAAGTTTATGATAGGGCAGAAGTACACAAGAAGCAAATATGATCATTGTGTATTTACGCGAGCTAGAAGACGGATCCTATATATATCTTCTTCTTTATGTTGATGATATGCTGATAGCTTCCAGGAGTCAGACAGAAATTGCGAAACTAAAGACTCAATTGAACAGGGAGTTTGAGATGAAGGATCTTGGTGAAGCGAAGAAGATTCTAGGCATGGAGATATCAAGGGATAAGAAATTGGGGATGCTTTGTTTGTCTCAGAAAGAATATCTGAGGAAGGTACTAAACGTTTTGGCATAAATGAGATGTCAAAACCAGTTAGTACACCTCTTGCTCCTCATTTCAAGCTCGGTGCATCCATGTCACCTAAGGATGATGCAGAACGGGAATACATGTCAAAGGTTCCGTATGCAAGTGTTGTTGGTAGCTTGATGTATGCAATGGTGTGTACGAGACCCGATATTTCACAGGCAATTGGGTTTGTGAGCAGGTATGCATGATCCTGGAAAGGAGCATTGGCAAGCTGTGAAATGGATTCTGCGGTATATTCTGAACACCGTAGATGTTGGTTTGGTCTTTCAGCAGGACAAACAAGATGGTCAGTGTGTAGTTGGGTATTGTGATTCAGACTATGCAGGTGATTTGGACAAACGTCGATCAACTACTGGTTATGTGTTTACATTTGCAAAGGCACCAGTCAGTTGGAAGTCCACCTTACAGTCAACAGTGGCTTTGTCTACTACAGAGGCAGAGTATATGGCAGTTACAGAGGCTGTGAAGGAGGCAATTTGGCTTCAAGGGTTGCTTGGTGAATTGGGAATGGAACAAAAGCACATCAAAGTGCACTGTGACAGTCAGAGTGCTATTCATTTAGCAAAGAACCAGGTTTATCATGCAAGGACGAAGCACACATCGATGTTCGATATCATTTTGTACGAGAGATTCTAGAAGAAGGTGGAGTCATAATCCAGAAGATTCGGACCACTGAGAATCCTGCTGATATGTTGACAAAAGTGGTAACTGCGGTCAAGTTTAAACATTGTTTAGATTTGGTCAATATTGTTACAAATTAAAAGATTGTTTTTTTTAGAGATGTGTGTGGAATTTGCCAAGGTGGAGATTTGTTGGTTTTTGGCAAAAGTCCCACATTGGTTGTGTATAAGGAGGAGGGGAAATTCTTTTGTTATAAATAAAGCCCTCCTCCTCCTTAGTTAATCATCCCACAAATATAAGCCTTCTTCTATTTTAAAGGCTATTTGTATTCTTTCTCTCTTTGTAATATTTCCTCTATTAGTGAAATATTTTGGTGTTCTCTTTTATGTCTATTTAATAGCTATTGTCGGGTATAGTTGTTGTCAATTATTGTCCTATTAAAATTACTTGTCTTGGTAGTTCTGTCTAAGGAAAGTGGGTTTTAAGAGGGACCATTGTGACCCCTCCTCTTTCCTGGGAATCTACCTTGAGGTGATTTTTAGTACAATCGTTTTCACACTAATCACCTAGATAATAGTTTTCAAGGTGAATCTGTTATTGGTGGAAATTAACCCGAATTTCACAACAATCTAACCCATTGTATGTCCTTTAGAAACTTAGTTTTGACCTTCTTCAGCTTGACAACAACGTTGTTCATGTCAATTCTGTCTTCTGGTAAATCTGCAGAACATTCTCCAGCTAGTTGCAAAAATGGACATAGCACAATCCTTTGCTGCCAAATGTTGTCTCTCTCCAGAACTTAGCAAATTTGTATCCACAACTTGGATTAATGTAGATGGTAAGCATTGTTTCACCCATTCCTTTAAGCTCATCTCATCCGAGAACATTTCGTCCGTTGGCCTTTTTCTTGTGAAAGTTTCCAGCAGAAGAATACCAAAACTATATACATCGCCTTTTATGGAAATGATCCCTTCAGCTCCATACTCTACATATTGAATTGCAGAACAATGAAGCGAAAAAAAAAGGGTAAAAAATTGATTGACTATGTATATGCTCACACATTACCTGGTGCCATATAGCCAATAGTTGCCATTGTCATGGTTTGTATCATTGAGTCTTCTTCGCCTAGGAGTTTCGAAATTCCGAAATCACTTAGATGTGCAACCATATCACCATCAAGAAGAACATTGCTCGGCTTTATGTCGCAGTGCACCACGGATGTTGTTAGGCCGTGATGGAGATACTCTAATGCAGATGCGACATCTATCATTATGTTCAACCTCTGTAAAATATCGAGAAAATGGTTGTGAGAATACAACCATTTCTCTAGACTTCCATTAGGCAAGAACTCAAGTACCAGAGCTTTAAACTCAAGGTTACAACAACTGCTGATGATTTTGACCAGATTCCGATGGAGAATCTGTCTCAGGACCTCACATTCAACTTCGAAACTTTTGAAGGCTCTTTCCGAATCCACATTGAAGACCTTTACTGCAATAATCGTTCCATCTGCTAGTGTTCCTCGGTAGACCGAGCCGAAACTACCCGCACCGAGAAAATTGCTCTCACAAAACCATGCAGTCGCTTCTTGAAGCTCGTGGTATGATATCATTCTCCATGTTGCTAAAGGTAAAACATCTCCTTGAGTTGGGATGCTTGCTTTCCCTTTTCGGCTTCGTAAAGAAATGATAATCAAGGCCAGTACTAGCATTGTTGCGGAAGCTACTGGTGGTAGAATATACGCTAAAAGCTTTCTAACCTTCCTGGATCGACTTCTATGTGCATTAATCTTGCATGGTGGCAGGTGCAATCGAGCAGCTCCACAAAATACTTGATTTCCCATGAATGATTGAATCGAGTAGTTCGAAAATGCTCCTCCGTTAGGAACTTCCCCTTGTAGCCTATTGAAAGAGACATTGAAATATTTGAGCATCAAAAGCTTTTCAAGGGATCTGGGAATCGTTCCGGACAGATTATTCCTCGACAAATCCAGGAATTCCAAGACTATCATTTTAGCTATGGACTCTGGTATAGAGCCCTGCAATTTATTACTAGACAAAGAGAGATGAGTTATGCCTATGAGATCTCCAATGCCAACAGGGATATCACCATATAATTGATTTCCTGATAAATCCATATCGATGACAACCTGCCATTTTCCGATGTTCTCCGGCAGCGGGCCACTTAGAGAATTCGAAGATAAATTGAGGTGCATGATATCTTCAAGCCTTGTCAAAGTCAAGGGTATTGAACCTGTGAACCTGTTAGAGCTTAAGAAAAGATCTCTCAGAGAAGTAATATTACCCAAGCAAGCCGGAATCGATCCAGAGAGATCGTTGTTGGTGAGAATTAAGTAACTAAACCTCTCCAAATGACATATATCAACCGGAATCGATCCGTCCAAATCATTGTCTTGAAGAGACAAAGATTGCAGCTCTCTTAATCTTCCAACTGTAGTAGGAATTGTTCCCATCAGTTCATTGTTGTCCAAATTCAAGCTTAACAAGGCAGTTAAGTTCCCGATTTCTTTCGGGATACTGCCATTGATGTTGCACCCCGAAGCAGAGAAAACATCAAGAGAAACCGACAGGTTCCCTATTGAAGCAGGAAGATTAGTGTTGACTAATGGATTCTCATCAATATATATGTTCTTCAAGAATCTACAGTTTGTCAAAGATGAGATAAAACTTGAAGGTTTATTGGAGAACTTATTATATGCAAGGTTGAGATTTTGAAGATATATTAAGTTTCCAAATGATTCCGGTAAAGATCCAGAGAATGAATTATTTGGAATATCAATACTAGTAAGATCAGAGGCATTGGAGAGAGAAGGAGGGATTTCTCCAGAAAGTTGATTTCCTGAAAGATAAAAGATTTGAAGTTGAGGAAGCCAAAGAGTAGGTGGAAGATGACCTGAAAGGCTATTTGTTTGCAGTGATAAATACACCATTGTTGAACTGTTGAAGATAGCAGGAGGGATTGGACCAGAGAGCATGTTGTCTCCCAAATATAAGGTGTCCAGATTTGGAAGATTGCTAATCTCAATGGGAATGGTACCTGCCACAAAATCAAAACATCCAGCCTTTGTAATGCATCAAAAAGAAATTCAAAGTCCTATTATAAATAAATTGAAGGTTGAAAAAAAAGATATCGATACCTGTGAAGTTATTAAAGCTTAAATCAAGAACAGTAAGAAGACTAAGGTTCCCAATAAACGAAGGAATGGGACCTTCCAATCCACCATGTATAAAGCTCAACATCTCCAGTCCAATAAGATTCCCAATCCGCCACGGGATTTCACCTCTAAAGTTGTTCCAGCCAACGAACAGTTGCTTGAGCGTAGTCAAATTCCCTAGCCCTTCAGGCACAGTCCCCCCAAATTGATTGTGAGACAAGAACAAAACCTGCAGTTGTTCATGCTTGAATAAACCAGCTGGGATTTCACCAGAAAATTGGTTCTTATCCAAGTAAATCTCTTGAAGTCGAGGAAGGGGATCAAACATATTCCATGGGAGATGACCAGTGAGGTTATTCCATCCAAAATCAATGATTTGGAGAGAAGACATGTTGTTTGGGATTGAGGGTATTGAACCACTCAAATAATTGCTCTTGAATTTAACATCTTGTAATGAAGATATGTTGAAGATTGAAGAAGGTATGGAACCTGAAATCTGATTGTTCTTCAAATTTAACGTCTTCAAGCTAGGAAGATTTCCGATTTCTTCAGGAATCTGTCCTTTCAGATTATTTTGATGGAGATCCAAGATCTCTAGCTTTGGCAAATAGCACAGAGAAGACGGGATAACACCTGTGAAATAGTTATCTTGCAGGAACAAGTATTCAAGTCTAGCCAAAGAACGGAACCATGAAGGGATTTCCCCACTGAAGTTGTTCTTACCAAAGCTGATATATTTCAGCCGGTGCAAATTAGCCAATTCCATCGGTAACGTGCCCCGGAAGCCATTGTTTTCGACGTCGAGCCGAGCAAGGAATGAGAGATTTCCCAAGTGAGGTGAGATAGTTCCGGTAAGACTCATGTTAGAAAGAATCAGAGAAGTGACTCTGGGGTGCTTGGATCCACAAGTGACACCAATCCAATCACAAACAGAAGCCGTCATCGACCAGTTGGCCGTCAAGAGATTTTGAGGGTCTTCAATGTAGGTTTTCAATGCCAGAAGAGCTAATCGGTCCGTGGTGATATCCGGAGATTCAATTGATAAAGAATAACAGTTCAAATGCAACAACAAAACCAGCATAAGACCAGTAAGGCTGAAGTGAGTATTCATCATGAACACAAAGGTAATTAAGGCTTACAGATAACCTAAAAAGTACCTATGACATTTAATTTATGAATCTTCATCCTTACAAAACACACATGGCCAACAAATAGATAAGATACAAGGACCAATTTTTCTTTCCTACGAATCATATCCAAGTAGAGTGGAATAAGGTACGAATCCACATTGCAGAAAGTCCTTAGTGGATTCTCCATTTACTTTAAAGTCATTTTCAAGTAGAAAGTCCTTAGTGGATTCTCCATTTACATAGTGGTATATTTTGAATACTAAAGGTGGATTCTTTATATACTCATCATTTTCTATAATTTCATTTTGAATTATCGAACACATTAAAAATGTAAATCATAGAAGTTACTAATTTTCAATATATTGTCAAACATGGCCTTAGTTTAATGGAACCATTTCATTTATATTTTATACATACCGATCCCGTTCAGTATCCTTTAAAAACTTAGCTCTAATCTTATTTAGCTTCGGAATCTCTTTCGAATTAAGCCTCTCTTCTGGTAACTCTGCTGAACATTCTAAGCCAACTTGTAAAATGGATAAGGCACAATCATTGGCTGCTAAACGTTCCCTCTCGATAGTTCTTAGCAAATCGGTGTCTACAACTTGATTCATCGGAGATGACAATGATTCTTTTATCCAACTTTTCAGGCTCATCCCTCCCCCAAAGGCCCAAACATTTCATCTGTGGGCTTTTTCATTGTGATGGTTTCCATCACAAGAATACCAAAACCATACACACCACCTTTTGTCGAAACAATTCCTCCATTTCCATACTCTGTATATAAGTATAGGACATCATCAATATTCAATAATATATTCATAACGATAAAATTATATAAAGTATCTAAAATGTATATGTACGCATGCTATAATTGGTGCATAGTTAGAAGACTCACCTGGTGCCATATATCCAAACGTTACAATTGTTGCGGAAGACGACTATCGGATAGAGCAAAATCGCAACTGATAATTTGAGAAAATAAAAATGAAAATAAAATAGATACAAAATTTACGTAGAAAACCCCTAAATAATATAGGGTAAAAAACCACAGGCAACGGTAGAAGAATTTCACTATGAGAAAATAAGAATTACAACTTCTCTCGATCTACCAAGGAGAAAACAATGATAATTCTCTCTTGATAAAATGGAGAAAACAAAGATAATTCTCTCTTGATAAAATGGAGAAAACAACTCTCAAGAAACTCTCTAAATTCTCTAGTATTGGAAGAAAGTTAGAATGCTTTGGGATGGTTTTGAAGCTAAATGAGATAGAATATTTATAGTTGAAGCTTAAGGACTAATCTTATAAATACCCTAAAGTGCAATGACTAAAATGTGCAATTTTCCCATGTCACTTTTCAACCATTATTAGTGCCAACTATGAACCATTATTGTTGTCAACTTTCAATGCATTATTCAACAATTATTTGGTGAATCATTGATGCCAACTAGCTTGGCAAATTGCATGACAACTAATAGCAATAGTCATGGTTTGTATCATTGGGTCCTCTTCATATAAGAGTTTTGCGATGCCAAAATCACTCAAATGTGCAACCATATCTTCAGCTAATAGAACATTGCTGGGTTTTAAATCACAATGCACCACGGGTGTTGTATGACCATGATGGAGATATTCTAGAGCGCATGCAACATCTATCATTATGTTCAACCTTTGTATCCAAAAAATGATGATTGGAGTACAACCATTTATCAAGACTCCCATTAGGCATGAACTCGAGCAGTAAGGCTTTGAAATCAAGATTATTCGAGCAGCTGCTGATGATTTTGATTAAGTTTCGGTGACGAGTGTTACGGAGAATTTCACATTCAACGTCAAAGCCCTTAAAACCTCTTTCTAACTCTAACTTGAATACCTTTACCGCAATTTGCATCCCATCAGAGAGAATCCCGTGGTATACAGAACCATAACTCCCATTACCAAGTAATTTGCTTTGATTGAATCCATCAGTAGCTCGATGAAGCTCCTGGTATGAAAATCGACTCCATGTTCCTAAAGGTAACAAGTCTTCTTGATTTGGTAATTTTTCCTTCCTTTTCCTTCTTCGCAAGATAATGATAATTAAAGCCATAACCAAAATTGTTGAGGCAATTGGCAGTGTTACATATATTATGAGCTTAGTTCTTGCCTTGGAATTCTTAACAGGTTTGCAGCTTGGAACATGAAGTTGAGGTGCACCACACAATGCTTCGTTCCCCTTAAATGATTAGATTGAGTAGTTTCCAAATGATCCTCCCTCGGGAATTTCTCCTTGAAGTCTATTAAAAGAGACATTAAAATATTTGAGATAACTGAGTTTCTCTAAAGATTTGGGAATTTCTCCGGATAGATTATTTCTTGACAAGTCCAAGAATTCTAAACTCAACAAGTCACCAAATGACTCAGGAATAGAACCTTCAATTCTATTATTGGATAAGGAGAAGTGAGTGCGATCTTTGAGATCTGCAACTCCTGTTGGAATATCACCCGAGAACTGATTGTTCGACCAATCCTTGCTAGTCAAAACCTTCCACTTTCCAATATCAATTGGCAGTGAACCACTTAGAGAATTGGAAGACAAGTTCAAGATAAGGAGGTCGTTAAGCCCTGTCATGGTTGAAGGTATTGAGGAAGAAAACATATTGGAGCCAAGAAATAGGTTCCTCAAAGAAATGAGATTACCCAAGCAAGCAGGTATCGGTCCAGACAATTTGTTACTCGTGAAGAACAAGAAAGCCAACGTGTTTAGATTACATAACTCAGACGGGATGGATCCTTCTAACATACTGTCCTGAAGAGAAGACTTATCAGCTCTTCTAATCCTCCAATTGAAGCAGGAATGCTTCCTGTCAATTTATTATCGTCAAGCTCGATGATTATCAAGCGACTTAAGTTGCCAATTTCACTCGGGATGCTACCCCTGATGTCACACCCAGAAGCATAAAACCACTGAAGAGAACCTGAGAGATTCCCCACCGAACCAGGAAGTTCACCATTGATCAAAGGGTTGATGAAAACCAAGAACTCCAAGACTCTACAGTTTATCAAAGAAGAGAGAAAGTTCATCCCTGAAGAAGTTAAATTATTAGCCTCCAGGTTGAGAAACTTCAGATTTCTCAGATTACCTAGAGTGTCAGGAATGGACCCTGAAAAGTAATTACTCGACACGTCAAGCTCAGTAACGTGAGAGGCATTGGAAATAGACATTGGGAATGGACCACCGAGGTGATTTTCACCAAGATATAATCCTTCCAGCCCCAGGTTTGGAAGCCAAAGCCCCACTTTGATGGAAGATGGCCAGACAGCTGATTTGAATACAAAGAAATGACAGACAAAGTTGAAATATTAAATATTGTAGGAGGAATAAAACCAGCAATATTGTTAACTCCCAAATCCAAGAATTCCAGATTCTTTAGGTTGCCAATCTCATGTGGTATTGTACCTGCCATAAATGAAGACATGAACTCAATAAAGAAAAAGCTTTCATACACGAGTCGAGGAAGACGAAAATATACGTTTCCCTTCACCTGTGAAGTTATTATAGGGACACGCAAACAACTTCAGAAGAGTCAGATTCATAATTTGTTTCGGAATTTCACCTGCAAAAATAAATTTTACGCATCAAATCGGAGTTTTTCCATGAAATTTCATTTTCTGAACTTCACCATTAATACATTACCTATAAAGTGGTTCCGACTAAGATAGAGGAACTGAAGCATATTCAAATTCCCAATTTCCGCCGGTAAACTTCCCTCCATTTGGTTAGCTGCTAAGGATAACTCTTTGCAGCTGAATAAACTGGCTGGAATTCTTCCGGAAAGCATGTTAACACCCAACAACAGTTGTTTCAATTTCGGAAGATGGTCAAACAAATCATTTGGAATATGACCAGTGAGATTATTGATGCTGAAATTGATGTATTCGAAAGATAACAAATCGCATGAAGCAGAGGGTATGGAACCCGAGAGCATATAATTTCCCAGGTTTAATCTTTGCAACGATGATAGATCGAAGATGGAGGGCGGTATTGAACCTAAAAAGTTGTTATATGAACAATCAATTTCCCTAAGAAGAGACAGATTCCCAACTAGTTCTGGAATTTCACCTGTAAAAATAAAATTTACTTAACAAATTCAGAATTCATCTACTAGAAAAAATTATTGCAATAAATTAAACAAAGAACCATGGGTAAGATGTTTGGTATCGTATTGGATGTCATGTCGCAAACTACAAAACTAGAGGATTACAGGTTTATTTGGAACTTTAGTTTTGAGTGGCAAATGTAGTTAATGTATTTTTAAAATATTAGGTAAACTATATTAGATATCATCAAATTTTAAATTGTTATCGTTTTTATCACTAAACTTTTCTTTTCGATTCGAACTTTCGTTTTACTTCCAATGTAAGCATTAAGCCCTTAAATTTTAAACGTTGTGATGACTTGGACGAAACTATTTGTCACTATGATGACGTGACCAAAACCAAGTCATTTTGGTCTGGCTATTGATGCCTAAATCAATAAACTAATCCAAATCAGATTTTGCAAATATCCATTATTAGGATGACCCTTCCAACCTTCAAACCCTGACTTTGTTTAATGAATCTAATTTCTCATCCTACTATATCAAATGTTCTTTGTTCTAAAATTTATTTATTAATTGTTAACTTACACCTTTTTTTTCTTTCAGAAGTACTTTGGCAAGAAAATGTAAAAAAATTTTAAAAAAAAACTTTAAGAGCTGGTTGGTATGCATTACCTTCGAAGTTGTTCACACCAATATAGAAGATTTGAAGCATACTCAAATTCCCAATTTCTACTGGTAGACTCCCCTCCAATTGGTTATATGATAAGGATAAGAACTGCAACTCTTTCGCTTGAATAAACTGGTTGGAATTTCGCCAGAAAACATGTTAGCACTCAAGTACAACTCTTCCAATTTCGGAAGATGATCAAACATATCCTTTGGAATACGAGCAGTGAGATTATTGTATGTGAAATCGATGGATTTTAGGGAAACCAAATCACTTGCTACAGAGGGTATGGAACCAGAGAGCATGTTATTTCTTAGATTTATATTTTGCAAAGAAGACATATTGAAGACGGAGGAGGGTATTGAACCTGAAATCTAATTCTCATACAAGCTCAAGGTCTCTAGCTTTGGTAGATAACCTAAAGTGAATGGAATAACACCCTTGAAGTTGTTATGGTATAGAAACAAAGTTCGAAGTTCAGTTAATGATCCCAACCATGATGGGATTTCTCCACTGAAGCCGTTGTTACCCAAGTTTAAGTGCTGCAGCCTATGCAAATTGGATAATTGGACAGGTAATCTGCCATGAAAACTATTGTTTGTGAGGTGAAGACGAGAAAGGAAAGATAGATTTCCCAAATGGGGTGGAAGAGTACCTACGAGCCCCAACCCTGTTAGGTCTAGAGCTGTGACTCTCTGGTTCTTCGATCCGCAACTGACACCAATCCAATTGCAAACAGGAGTAGAAGCTGACCAATTACTTGCCAAGACATTTTCAGGGTCGTGAATAACTTGGTGTTTTAATTCATGCAGAGCCGATTGGTCTGTAAGTACGGTGGTTAGTTTGATCGAAAAAGTAGCCATAAAAGAATGGAAGATGATGAGAAGAGCTAAGCTGAAGAGAGTCCTACTCATTTGATTTTGGGTGTTGAGTCACTGGAAAATGGAGTTTATCAAGCTACCAACAATGAACAAAGGCACAACGGAGACGGCTAAACAGATAATCACTTCATCATACACAGTTAAATGTAACTGATGGACTACGTAACCGCATATAATCACCGTAAAAAATAAAATAAACAGATGGCTTGTCGTGACCTTTTTTCCTATTTCTTTGAGATGCATCCTTTTGTACAATCTAAAGTCCGACTTTGAAGATTTCAACAAATTATGGGTCATAGAATTAATCAGTTTTTTTTTATTATTATGTATAAATTTTGAGCTGATGGAAAGATTTAATAAATCTTTCCTCCAATCAGATGATGACACGTGTCACTGAAAAAAAAATCAAAGAAAGAAGCAGCTTAGGGAAATCGATCCTGGGTGTTAACGGGGCTGCCTGACTTTGTTCGGTGGCTTGACTTCATCGTGCAGTCTAAACTCTCTTCGAACTTTGGCTTTAGAAACTTTGCATGCTCGGCATACACATATCAGCAACTGAGAAAGACTTGTACGTAAGGGTTCATTATGATTTATGAAGAGTGTTCTCGAGTCCCGTCCGGAATAGACGTTGAAGTATCAGTCCAAGGTCCATCCATGGGTGTGGCTCTGTCATGAGAAAATGTCGAGACATTCGTTTGGCTGTCGTGTGACAGTGTCTCAAAGGCTTTAAACCTCGCATCCTGATCCGAATCCCTCCGTTTGATTAATGGAGCTTGGACGGGAGCCTTGCCTTCTATCATACTGACTACAGAAGACATTGACGGCCTTAATGTTGGAGATGGATTGGTGCATAGAAGAGCCAGGTTAAGCATCCTTAGTGCTTCTTCTTTGGAGTAATTTGAATCAAGATTTGGATCAACAAGCTCCAAAAGGTTCCCTTGTTCTTGCAGGACATAGGCCTAAAATCGTATTGGTTCAGATCGAAGTTAGCTCAACGAGTCGATAGATATACGGTAGGAAAGAAAAAGTTGATAAATAAAGCTTTGATTACCCAATCAAGGAGGAAAACAAACTCCTCCTTTGGCTTGTAATTTGTGTTGCTCTTCCCACTGACAATCTCCAAAAGGACAACACCAAAGCTATAAATATCGGCTTTGTCGGTCAGGTAACCTCTCATTGCATATTCAGGTGCCATGTAACCTCTGATAAGAAAAGCATAGAAAACACTGAATCGTCTGAGAAAATGATGTTCGTTTCTGCAGGAAATTCAATGTATGCAACTACTTTGATGTTGCTTAGCCATCTGCGAATTCCATAATGTAGGAAGGCGAAGAGAAGGGAGGAGACTTACATTGTTCCAGCTATTCTTGTGCTGATATGAGTGTTCTCTTCTTCATCGAGCTTGGCTAATCCGAAGTCGGAAATCTTAGCATTTAGATCCTTATCGAGCAGCACATTTGTTGCCTTAATATCTCTGTGAACAATTTTAAGTCTCGACTCCTCATGAAGATAAGCAAGTCCTCTTGCAATCGCCAAGCATATTTTCTTTCTCGTCGACCAATCCAAGTTAAGACGTTGCTCCTCGCGACCTGAAACGAAATTATTAAAACAAAACGGAGACGTTATCAGTCATGATTTTAAATCTAGAGATAGTCTTAGATGTTATATAAGATATTAGCAGAGACGTTACCGAAAAGTGCACGAGCAAGACTGTTGTTTTCCAAGTACTCGTATATTAGCAACAATTGATTTCCTTCAATACAACAGCCATACAGCTTCACAAGATTAGGGTGCTGCAATGCAGAAATCATGCCTATCTCGTTTACGAATTCTCGATTTCCTTGCTTTGACTTAGAAGATAGTTGCTTAACTGCAATTACCGTACCATCTGGCAGTACACCCTACAATCAAACAGTGAAATATCAGAAACAAAAGTTCATAAACTAATCACTTCTCCATCATCCCCTTCAGCATTAAAATTGGATGCATCATAACATAGGCATTTCATCTGTGTTTGGAATATTATAACCATTCGGGTTCCAATCGTATTGGCCGAAACAAAAACAATTATTACCTTGTAAACTGGCCCAAATCCTCCTTCACCAATCTTATTTGCAGGATCGAAATTATTTGTTGCAGCCTTGATTTGTCTTAAACTGAAATAGCCAGTCTGAAGTTCTAACCCATGAAGCTCTGCAATATGAACAGATCAAAAGCTTTAGCCCATCCTAGAGAAACAGAAACAAAAACAGCTTGCATTCTTTCTTTTATTTATGATCTAACCGCTGTTTTCGTCGTGTTTGCCGCCCAAGTAACCCATCAGTCGGAGGATGATCAATAGCAGGATGAGAATTACACATGAACCGATCAAAATACCAGCAATGAGTCCAGCTGATAACCCTTCCCCGATATCGACCTTAAAGTCTAAAGATGAGAAAGGAATCAATAAAAACGACAGTTAAAATATTAGAAACTAGCCAGTTCTTCGACATGATATGTACTTACTAGGAGTTACTGTAATAGCAGATATCAATGGTCCATAAACTCCTCTGTCAGGAATGGCAGTGGTTCCTTTCCCTCTCCAGTACAAGTGAATCTCCAAAGTACTTCCCTCAACGTCAACATTAAATTCCTTGAAGATACCCTTACCGACACCGCCAGCTTCCTCCATGATGTTGAAATCCTCCAAAACTACTTTCCCCTGTATGAACAATCAAGTTAGAGTTTCAAAGACTACAATCATATGTTCATCGTATCTTGGAAAGAAAGGGAAAACTCCGAAAAATGGTCCATGAACATAGCTAATGAATACTTACTTGAATCGATATGTCAAATAAGCGCCTTCCAAGACTCTCAAATGTCTTATTATCAGAATACATAATTTCAGCAAAGTGAAGCGTCACGGTATAGTTGCCTTTTAGCAAACATAGGCCATAGTACTTCAGTGACTGAGGCGCAAGACGTGCAGAATTGTAGAAGGCTGGACCGGGCACAACAGATGAAGCTCTTGCAGTGTAATGAGCTTCAACGTTTCCCAAATAAACACCTGTACTACTATAAGCCCACTTATTTGCTGAATTGAAAAAGTTTGATGGACCAATGGTGCTTAAGTCCTCTTCATATTCATTTCCGTCAACATCAATATGCTCTCCTCCACAATTAATAAACAAGGAATGGTCTGCAACAAGAAACAAGGTTATATCAGATAAATTTCTGGTGAGAAACAAGAAGATCGAATTTAAGTATAATTTATAGAAGTATAAGAAAGAAGTAATTGTACTTACAGGTCGGTTTTCTAGGACAAGGAAGATCCTTCCTTAAGCACCATGAAACTCTGCAAATTATATTGTGTCAGCACCAGTATTTGAAATAAAAATTAAGTACTAGAAAAATATCGATGAAACTAACGAATTGCCGTCTGCTGAGGACGAGGAACTGGATAATAGGTTCCTGTTGATATTGGAGAGTACAGAAGATTAATATACTAAACTAAAATGATCTTGAAAATGTAAGGAAAATATCAAGAGACTTACACTCTTGCTTGTTGGCAACTTGTTTGGGAAGAAGATGTAAAATTGTTGTAAGACAAATCTCTGCAACGAATATTTCAGAAGAACTTATAAAATTTTATAGCAGGAAAACTTCAAAGTCCGAACTAGTGCAGCCACCACCAAGATTCAAAATTCTAAACATAAAAAAATAACTATAAGATGGGAGATGGGACCGACATGTTGTCGTCGCTGCCTAATACCCAACCAGGCAATGCTCCGGTCAATGAATTGTTAGTCAGAAACCTGAGTCATGAAAAACGAACATCTCACTTTTAATCATACATGAAACAATATGACACAATGATAAACTAACAAATTGTTTATAGACTTACAAGTAATCTATCTTTTTCAAACCCTGAAGTGTCTGAGGAATTTGTCCAGATAAGCGGTTGAAGCTTAGGTCCCTATAATCCGAATCATGTAAACGCAATCCAGTAAAAGAAAATTAGTGGAGCAGAATCTAGACAATTGTTTTGAAACACTTCTGATGCTGAAATCAGTTCAAGTAAGAAACTTACAATGTTTTCAATGATGTCATTTCGCCTATATAGGGAGGGATTGGACCGGTAAGCAAGCAATTTCGAAGCACCCTGAGTCACAAAGTTCGAACAAATCCTCCAATGAGCTAAAAAGAACAGAAACAATGAATCAGATGGAAGAACTTCTTAGACTAAACTCACAATTCTTTCATATCTTCCATTCCCTTCAAATTTGGAAAAGCTGAACTTCTCCCTCTCAAATCAGTTATCCTCCTGAAATATGATAAGATATAAGAAAATTAATCACTCATCGTCTTGAATGTTGTTTTCGAACGGAAAATAACTAAGTATACAAGGATTAAGGTCAAGAGACTCACAAATCAGTTAAGTTTTTTAACTCAGATATGGTTGACGGAATCGGTCCTTCCATCGATGTGCCTTGCATGTCCCTGCAATGGATTTAGAATTTCTTAATAACAATGAAAAGATTAAGAGATGCGAAAAAGATAGATATATGATTGGTACTCACAATCTTGTAAGTTTAGTCCAATTCCCTATAAAATCAGGTATCTTCCCAGACAGACTACTTCCATCTATCCGGCTGCAAAAACACATTTCAGAAAGGTCAGGATTCAGCCTACTGTTGTTATGAATATTCAGATATCCACATTTTGTACTAACACTTACAAATCAGTTATGTTCTTCAAATTGCCGAATGATTCGGGTATTCTGCCAGTAAAATTGTTCGAAGAAAGAAGACTGCAGGCGCGAAAAGTAGTCAGTTACGATACAAATCGAAAAGAACATAGATCACGAATTCACTTGATAAACATTGTTGATATTAACTTACAGTCTACTCAAGTGGCTCAAATTTCCAATGCTGGAAGGTAGAGATCCACCGAACAGGTTATCTTCCAAGACCCTAAATATGCAATTCAATTGAGAATCAATATTCTATAACAAAATTCTTTATTCAATTAGACAGATTTATGCATCATGACTTACAGTCCTTCAAGTGTAGAAATATCACCAATTTCACCAGGAATCGGACCACTAAGACGGTTCCCCAGAAGTGACCTGAAAAATGTTACAGAAGACCAAACAGCTTTACAACTTCATTGATGGATGGATGATCAAATGGCACTAGCTAAGTACAAAACTGGTACAAAAATGACTTACAAACTGGTGAGAGGAAGCTGAGATAAACTCGAAGGAATTGATCCATTAAGATAGTTGCGAGTAAGATCACTGTTCAACAATGGAAGATTAGCTAAGTTCTTCCAGGTCGCATATGATGAATAGATGAAAGAGCTAAGACTAAAGTCTAATGAAGGATTGGACAGAGAATTGAATTAATGAACCTATGACTGTCAACTGAACTTACATCACTTCCAGATGTGTAAGATTTCCAAGTTCAGGTGGTAGAATTCCAGTCAAATTGTGACCCTTTATCAATCTGTTGCAGAAAAGATGCAACAAAAGAATGAAAAAGAGTTAACTAGCATAAATTTTGATAAACTCATTGTAAATGATAAAGAAAGTTCATGGTTAAGAAAAGAGAAAAGAGATCATACATTTGAGTGACATGGCAGTTGCTGTTGTTTCCATTAGAACAATTACATACAATACTGCTTTCAACAAGAGTATTAATGGTATAGTTCCATGAACTATCACTGCAAACGGTTCTTCTAATGGTACCAGCATTCGAATGCTGCATCTTCGAAAATACAGTTCGAAGAGTCCGAACTATTGCAGACAATGCAGCAGAAATTAATCAGTAAACACACTACTAGATTACTTGAGATAGTCATTTAATCAAGTTTACTTAACATGATAATGATAAATCTAAACAGGAAGTACAAGTCATTGCCAGCTATTTATGTTCATTAAGAATGTAGCATGGGACAGATCAGGTAGCCCCATTCCTGCAATAATTGCTATCTAACAAAGAATACCACAAATTCAAAATTCATATAAACTAATTTCTGGCTTAAGAACTGCATGTGATTGGTTGAAAATGTGGGCTTTGATCAAAATCTGATATTTTTTAAACAAATATCTGGGACTAAGAGTGGGGCCATCTACTATGGCAAATAAATGCATGACGTGGGCTTCTACATCAATAATTATACTGATATGTTTGGTTACTGAGAATATGATAGAAAGTGCAGGTAAGGATATCACATTGTGTATCAATATTCCTCCAGTTTCTCAACAACCAAACAGATCAGAGGTAATCCCTTTAAGCAGAAAATGCCTCAATATAAGAAAACCCAAATGAGAGAAGTCAAAAAGAGTGAAGATAAACATAAAAGGATTGCTTTTTTTAATGAATTTTGTGTGGAAAGAAAACAGTAGCAAAGGAAATTGGAAACAAAGTTCCAACTTTGATGAACTCTTTTGAACTATTCCCCTTTTTACCCATCAATCAACCTTGAAAGTAAATCATACAGAGAGAAAAAGAAAAGGTCCCGAAATTCCAATCATATTTGTCTTATTTTGACTGAAATTCCCAGAAACCAAACAGAGGTATCCTCTGTGACAAAACAGAGCAAGTTCATTAAAAAAGGAACAGCACCCAAATCCTTTGAATTTTTGTCATGTCTTTTCCCTCGAACTCTCAGGAACACAAACGGAGTAGCATTAACTTCAACAGTTACATCAAAAGGGAGAAACGCCAAAAAAAGAAACTTATAGGAAGTTTTAAAGAAGTCGGTCGGGTGGCTGCATACCTTCAGATTCCGGTAAAAGTTGAGCATTTGATCCAAACTCAGCGAAGCAATTCAAAGCCCAAACTCCCAGAAAAAGAGCAGGAACCATCTTAAATGCAGAAAAAACAAACCCCATTTTCTTCTTCTTGCTTCAATCCCCCCAAAAGTTTATCTTCTTTCACTTGACTTAAAACCAAAAGATATGCAAATAAACTCTTCGAAACAAAGAAAAACTCAAATGTTTCTATGTTCTTCGTGGAGCTATGCTAACTTCCACTGAGAAATAAAGTGAAGTAATTGTTATGGAAATTATAAGGACGTTATTAGTTTGATTGAAAGTAAAGCAAACGTGGGAAAAAGGAACATGAGCTTTATATGTCGGGTTTTTGTTTGATATTTTATGGTTTTTTAATGTAAAAGAAAAGAAAAATTACAGAAGTAAAAGGTTTAAGACGAGAAATAAGAACGGAGTAGGGAGCCGCCGATAAGGCTTTCCGGCGCCGTCACAGGCTTTGCTTTTATGGTGGCTGGCTATCGGTGCTTTTTATAATTCATTTTCCATATAAAATCAATATTAGTCACACGAGCCAAACAATTTTAATTGAAAAAAAATATTATTCTTTAAAGTCTCGAATTTAAATATCAAAATTATAAATATTTAATATTAAATAATTAAAAATTATATTTAAACAAACACTATTTCATAATTATTCAAATTAATAAAAAAAGTATATATTACTCTTATTACAATTTACAACCTACAATGTCTTAAATATATTTTATTACACAAGAAATTTCTAAAAATTTTATTTAAGTTAAAATCTATTTTTATTATTTTATTGATTTTTAATTTTATAAATTCTAAAATGATTAAGTTATAATTTTATTATTTAATGAGTTTTTTTAATAGTTGGGTGATTATTAAGTAGAAACAGAAGCATAATTTTATGTTATGAGGGATGTATAAAATTTTAAGTACGAGAGAACTTATAAAATTTTAGGAAGAGAAAATATATTTTCAATAGAAAATATTTAAAATATATAGAAATTTGAAATTTTTAGGAGGCGACTGTCCCCACCCGCCCCTTCTAGGTTTATTCTTGTTATAAGATAGTATTTGTTTAAAAAATTTAAATTATTGATCACATATACATAATGCAAACACGTAATTATTTAAATTTAGATCTTTTAGATAACAATATTAACTTTTACTATTAAAGTCACTTAATATAATTTATTAATTTATTAATTTTAAGACTTAAATATAATTTTATCTATTTAAGAAGTCATGACCCTATTCATCTCGTGTTCGTCTTTGTTAAAAATATATCATATATTAAGATATGAAGGCTTTTTATTTCACAACCACCGAATCAATTTTTCATTATTTTATATATATTAGGGTATTTCATTTTTTGGTTACAGTATATTAGTATTTCACTTGGAAAAGAAAATATTTTATACCAATGGATTTGGGCCCATGACCGTGGGTTTCAAGTGCATGAAATTTTATAACACTTACTTACTAATGGCATAATTATAGATATTAATACAATTAGATATTATTTTTTATAGATAAACTTTAAATTTACAATATCAAGTAAAATTGGTCCAAAGATCATAAATTCCTTTTTATAAGATGATCATCCAGCTCAGTTGGTAGAGCACAAGGTTCTTAACCTTGAGGTCGTGGGATCGAGTCCCACGGAGGGCATTTAATAATTCGGAGGTCTTCTACGGAAGTTGCTCTCAACTTGGTGTTGGGGGCAGCCTACTATCTTACCTCTCCCTTATCCAATTACATATGGGAATAAGGGACAACCATTTTTATAAAGGTTGTTGAAAAAATGTACCTCTAAATCTTATATCTATATACACGAAGAAAAAATTATATTTTTTGTACTTAAAAAGTTTAGGTTAGGGGTGGTTCTCCTACTCTAGGGTCATGACATACCTAAGACTTAATTGAGATTTATTTAGGAATTTACAGATTGTTCACCAAGAGGGACAGTGGTAGGATTCAAACTTGATCTTACAAATTCAAATTCACGAATCTCAACCATTTATACCAACACTCATTGGTGAAGAAAAAATTATATAGCGAAGAAGATTCTTATTTGTATAAATAATACTAAGTTTGGAATGAGCGTGTAAAAATTAACGATATATTTTTATATTTTGAGTTGTTTTATCATATCAATCGGTCAAGACTTTAATCTTAATACTTCTAAACGTATTATTTAACGATAATTTACACTTAAACAAACATAAAAAAGTTATTAGTTTTTTCTTTCAATTTAGAATGTTCAAAAGATCTTGATCATATACTGATTATTCATGTTTATTTAAGTATAGGATAACGAGGGTATTATAGTTTCATATTCTCATATTACCGCAAATACCTAGCAAGTTCGTTAGGAGATATTAAGTTGACTATCAACATTAAGCAAACGAAGAGGTGTCACCAGCAAATCATTGGGTAAAGCCAACGCTGTTTGTTTGCTTTTGTGTATTTATATAAAAATCTTGTAACTTTTTTGTCGGTAAAATTAGAAACAATTAAGCTTAAATGGAATATAATAGAGCAAAATGTTAATTAAAATATATTTAAATTTATAAAGTTTTAAATATTTTAATAATAATAATAATAATACCAATCAAATTAATATTTCATCAACCCAAATATAATGGATTTTTGTTATTGATTATTTCCTTAGTCGCGTGTTCCAATGGGCTGAATCAACTACTTGCATTAATTCTATAGAGGTTATTTTTTTGATGCACGAACTCCGGTGATTTTAATAGTAAAATAATTATTGTTATTTCTTGAAGTTTTAGGTTCGAGCACCAGCAATACTATGGGTATGACCATTCAATGTCAAATGATTAAAAGTAAATTTTGAACAGATATTATCTTGTACTTACACCAGATTAATAAAAAATAATAATTTTCTTTGTATTATAAGCAATTGTTAATTTCTCAACTAAACATTGTTCAAGCTACTCACTTAGTTTTGTAGGCACTCATGGTCAACAAATAGTAGTATTATTTAGATAAAAAGCTCAAATTCGAATAAGTTTAACTTGAATTATTATACTTAATAATTTGTGTTTAAATTCAATAAAAAATATATAAGAGACGGGTTATAGTTTATTTTTATTTATGGACAAATCTAATGTCAACAGATCTATAATTATGACTTAGAGTACTGATTTTTTAATATTAAAAATCAGAGTTAATTGCATTACACATATGACCTTCACTCTAAATTGATCCTTAAAATTTTAAACATTCCAATTTCATTCCTAAACTATTACTATCATTCTATATTAGTCTTCAATCTTTTGAACATTTCAGTTTCATCCCAAATTATATGTAGGTACTAATCACATCCATTGTTAATAAAATTGTTAGGCCAAGTTATGTTATTAGATATTTGAAAAAAATAAATTTAGGTTAAACTATTGTTGAAACTAGTCACATATTTGGATGAATTTGGGGATGGAATTAGAAGATTCAAAAGTTTGGGGACAAATTTATAACGAGAGTCATATTTTGAGGATGAAATTAGAATTTTCAAAATTTTAAGGACTAATTTAAAATAAGTCACAGTTCAGGGATGAAATCAAAATGTTTAAAAAGTTTAAAAATCAATTTGAAATGAAAGTCATAATTTAAGGATATATGATGCAATTAACTCTAAAAATTATTTGCATCAAGATTCAACTCCAATTATAAAACCTTTAGGCCCCTTTGATTTGTTTGGGTTACTTCCTATATTTAAAATATTTTTTTATTAATATGAAATGATTATAAGGTATTATATGTTTAAAAGATTTTTAATCATTTGATAATAAATATTGATATACTCTTATAGACATCATACTCAAACTTAAAACCCCAAGAAATAATAATCATTCATTAATAACTAAAGTCGCTTGATTTGAACTAGATTTAAAAAAGTTGAATGATGAGAATTTGAATTTAGTTAACAATATTGTTGTAATTATATACAAGAAA